TTCTTCCATTAAGTGCTCGACGGAGGATAGCAGTTGAAAAGACCGAGACCTTTTGCAAATGATAATGCCCTGAAAATAGCGTTACCGTAATAGCATTTGTTATCAAATAAAATTAACCACCATATCGGTTTCGAAACACATACTGCAATAAACAAGCAATGAATGTCACTGATCCACGTTTACAAATATGGAAACGTCATAGAACAAACCAGATGACGTCATTATTGAACGTCATATGACGCCAACTAACATCAGGCGTGGTGATGGCCAAGTTTCTTCATCCAAAACTGGTTCCCACATGAGATATCGCTTGGGTGAGATGAACCGATATCTACATTGCAGATGTCGCTGCAATGAAATTGCATCACAATGCTTTGCAGACCATAGTTATGTCATTGTTACCATCATACGATATATTGACATAATGACGAATAGTTCGCGAAAATCTGTACTTTTCCTGACACTTCGGCATGTTCCTGGGTGCCGAAAGGCTGCCCAACTCGTCATTTCCACCATGGAGGTTCAACGGAGAGCACGTGTTGCTCTTGTCCTGGTCCTTGGGGAATCGTGTTGTTCTTACTTAATTCTTCCATGATTCGTAGTTGACTCGGGACAATCGTGGCTGTTTCGGGATTATTTCGGGTTGAGGAAAATAAATTTTGGGAGCATCGAATCGCTAAAAATAGCCAATTGCTTCCAAAAGAATCAACCACGAAGATGTTACGGAAGATACCAATTAATTACGAATGGATACAGCCAAGAAATTGCTAATCGGGGACCCTTCCAAGAAAGCTTTTGGCAAACAAAAACTGTCTCGCCGATTCGACGAACCCCCGCGAACTGAACGAATGTTTGGGAATCAAATAAGATTCATTTAAGAACTTCAAGAAATGATTGAGATTTATCTATGAACATGACAAATTGTATTGTGAATAGTGTATCGTGCCAAATGTATGGTGAGTTACTGAATTAATACAGTAGTTTCAAGAAAGTGGTAATTGTATTTGTAATGTTAAGTGTATTTTACAACATGGACCAGGCTTATATTGTATCTTATAAGTGGTGTCGGGGACACGGGTGGCCCAGTCGTCTAAGGCGCCGCGATTCGCTGTGCAGATTTGCGTCTCTTGGGCACGCCAGAAACCTATGATTGTGGGTTCGAATACCGGTACGCCCAAATTATGTTTCTAGGTTTGTCAGCACCATGCCCGTGCTCGTGGGTTTCACCGAAGTGGTGAACGTCTGAGACCTGCATCACTTCGGGCTTTCCTCCAACATTAAGCTGACACGCCGCGATATAACTGCAATACTGTTAAAAGCGGCGTTAAACCCAACTCACTCACTCATTCACTATAAGTGGTGTCGGGTTATCGCCCTTGATGAAATGTTTGTTTATTTTAGGGTTGAGAAAATGATTTTGTATATCATTGATTATTAGGTTCATGTTCATGTCCAGTTATATGTATATATGAAATGAATGGTCGCTTTGTATTGTATGAATATGTATGTGTTTGAAACCTGTGTACTATTGTTTATATAATTTTATTGTTTTGTACTTCACGGGGTGTCATTATCTTCTCGGGCAATAAAGACTCCCACCCGTAGCCTTTGTTTGAAATTGTATTTTCCATCACCACAACTCCGGTTACAATATTACAATCGGTATTGGGAGAAAAGGTACAGGTGATCGACCTGAGGAGTGTGTGAGAATATGCGGGAAATACCAACCTTAAATAGGGGTAAATATTTTTTAACCTTGTACATTTTATCAACATCTTTAGAGGCTGTACATAATGTTGATATGTCATATAAACATTAAACTACTCGTGGTTGTTGTTTATCGTACAACAATACACTCGCCCCTCATGATTTATTCTCCCTGCAGTGTTATATTGTACGATAAACAACTCCCACTCATCGTTTTTTTCTTAGACAGTGGCCCGCTCATTTAAGATAACATGCGGGCGGTTTCATGATAATTCTGACCATATTAGCTATGAAATAATGTAAGGCGGCATGTTTTGTAGTCATTTTGGAGCGGATGAAAATATAATAATTAATTTCTTATTTCAAATTGGTCTGTGAGAATTTTGCATTAATGAATTTGCTAGCCGTGTGTAATATTGCCTCTTGCCCTGATCATTTCTATGACTGATGGTGTCCCCGCGAACAGCTGCAATACTGCTGATGCATCTTTAAGCAATATTTACTCACTTAATGACGATGATAACTTTGTTTCCAGCTTCGGACACATTAATGTTTTCACTATCATTGGACATTCATGTACACACTTTCTTTTGTTAAATATCTCGAGCACGTTGAGGGTATATAATATAAAGTACATAGGAAACTGTCACAACGGGAGAGAACTCTACTCTATTCCACATAGGACTTTGTGTTTGTAAATTACATAGCATTTTCAAGCTCAAGTCATAATTTTGCTAAATGCTACTTGGAGAATGAAGAGCATGAAAGAAGCATGACCAAAGGACTACTAACGTGTGCATTCGCCTTGACCTTGTGATATTACGCATGCAAGAGATTGCGTAATTGCGAGATTTTGCATCATGTCCAAATGTCGGATTCACGCGTTGTCGACTTTTGATAAAAAATGCCAAGTACCAAATTAAAATCACGAGAATGCTAGATCGCATTCTAATGTTTTGGGCATATTTATCTCATTTCAAAAGGAACAGATCGCGAGAATGCGAGATCGCAAGAATGTCCCTTACAGTATTCAATAGTTTGCTCCTTTCAACTTGTTTTCATCATGTGACGTTAAAAAGGAAATGACAATGTAATGCATTTGCTAGTTTGCATTAATTGTTGCAAATGCGTTGGGTAGATATTGACAATAGGATTATAAACTAATTTGCAATTGTTTGCAATTCTGTCAAATATGTATACTATACAAACATTGACAAAGCAGGTGTCCTTGTTTCCTTTATACAATGTATAACATAATCTATTTATTAATTTGGTCGAGCCCATGGCTCAAACATATTTAGGAATATATTTGGTAAGAGCGGCATACATTGTACCTTATATTTGTAAATATAAGACATGGTCAGTACAACAAATTATATTACTTTCGAAACTGCAATAACATCCACAGAAACAGGGGCGATCGGGTAGCCTAGTGGTCAAAGCGTTCGCTCGTCACGCCTAAGACCCGGGTTCGATTCCCGACATGGGTACAATGTGTGAAGCCCATGTTTCTGGTGTCCCCGCCGTGATATAACTGGAATATTGCTGAAAGCGGCGTAAAGCCATACTCATTCACTTACCCCATAGAAACAATAGTATGATTCATGACGAACAAAAGTATGTGTAAATTCAAGTTTTATTCAAAGCAACAGCGAGTTTTCTTAAAAGATATATACAGCAATATACAGCGAAATAAGTAATGTGAACATATGACTTGTTTTGACGAATGCAAACGTTTCCGTCAGTATCCCACGACGCTGTTTTGTCGTCTCACCCACAGTTAAACTTACTCCTCATATGTTACGGGACCGACAATTATTTGTGACAATTTTTATCGACACCCACGCCCCACATACACCCCTCTGAATATCAAATGATCGGTCAAATGGTATTTAGAATATGTCATTAAAAAACATATTTGTCATTTACTAATTTGGCGAGTTGAAACAGCTTGGACTGATTACAAACGATACATTTCTTTTCCAGATCAGAAGGTTAATGTATATACAAGACACAAAGTACAGTTATTTCAAGCAAAATGCTTAAAGTCGCAGCAACAAAAGATTCTAAACAGATGTTATGAGAAAATGTTTTATGCAACACAAATACAAATATGATTTACTATAAGTTTTTGTATGAGCAGGCATATGCTACAGCCAGCATATACAGTGACAACTATTCCACAATTGTGCATACAAATTGAAATTCTGTTTTTTTAGGCGGGTTCGAAGGATGTAAAAACTAATGACATTTAATTTGTAAATACTGGTACATTTGAAATATATCAAACCAATTTCCAAGTACTGAAAAATTACGTTCTGCCTGAGAATGCCTCTGCAATACTATATTTGATATGTTTATGAAAACTAATACTGGTATTTCCTTATGGCAACGAAAAGATACTACTCCTATTGTCTATATTATATTATAGAAGCCCTTCAAATTGAAGGAAGTTTCCTATCCAAAAGTATGTGTAAAGGTGCGAAGTTGATGATGTTAGTAGAAATGTTATCAAATATAGAAACGAACTTTTATTGTCATGCTAGCCATTGAATACTATTATTAATTTCCACTCAGCTTTGAGCTATAGAGAACTCTTTCTTATTTGATGTTAACGTTTAGCATTTGGATGCACCCTCGTGATTGACAGTAATGATAATGTTACCAAAGGATACGTGAGAATACGGGGCAGGTAATTTTAACAGTGTCATTACATCTTATTATGATCGCTCTCCGTCTCCCTGGTAACCATGATTCATTGGATGTAGCGGAGTGTTTTCCGTGTTGCTCATTTGCCTCTCTGGGCAGCGATCTCTGATTTTCGTCTCGTGGCAAATCCTGACCAGTGTCAAAAGAGTAAATACACCTCCAAGTACCATAACACCAGCGAGAAACACACCTGCAGAACAGAAAGTATAGAACAATATCCCTTTGTGAAACATACGTGTTATTCTAAAGAGCCAATAGAGAGGTAAAGTAGAAAAAAACACTGATTCAGTGTGCATGCCTATCAATGAATGTCATAATAAATTCAAGATCCACAATGATAATTTGTCCCTCCCCCTCCCCTCCCCCTCCCCTCCCCCTCCCCCCCCCCCCCCCCCCCCCCCCAATTTAATTTGTAAATACTGGTACATTTGAAATATATCAAACCAATTTCCAAGAACTGAAAAATTACGTTCTGCCTGAGAATGCCTCTGCAATACTATATTTGATATGTTTATGAAAATTAATACTGGTATTTCCTTATGGCAACGAAAAGATACTACTCCTATTGTCTATATTAAATTATAGAAGCCCTTCAAATTGAAGGAAGTTTCCTATCCAAAAGTATGTGTAAAGGTGCGAAGTTGATGATGTTAGTAGAAATGTTATCAAATATAGAAACGAACTTTTATTGTCATGCTAGCCATTGAATACTATTATTAATTTCCACTCAGCTTTGAGCTATAGAGAACTCTTTCTTATTTGATGTTAACGTTTAGCATTTGGATGCACCCTCGTGATTGACAGTAATGATAATGTTACCAAAGGATACGTGAGAATACGGGGCAGGTAATTTTAACAGTGTCATTACATCTTATTATGATCGCTCTCCGTCTCCCTGGTAACCATGATTCACTAGATGTAGCGGAGTGTTTTCCGTGTTGCTCATTTGCCTCTCTGGGCAGCGATCTCTGATTTTCGTCTCGTGGCGAATCCTGACCAGTGTCAAAAGAGTAAATACACCTCCAAGTACCATAACACCAGCGAGAAACACACCTGCAGAACAGAAAGTATAGAACAATATCCCTTTGTGAAACATACGTGTTATTCTAAAGAGCCAATAGAGAGTAGAAAAAAAAACACTGCCTATCAATGAATGTCATAATAAATTCAAGATCCACAATGATAATTTGTCCCCCCCCCCCCCCCCCCCCCCCAATTTCATACACGTCTTCAACGTCATGGCTAATTGAATACTAGTATTTAGCCTCATATAACTGTGACAGAAGCCTTTATACTTGTAATACTTACTGAAGTTACAGGTACTGCTGGACACTGACGGTACTCTGCTTGAGACAAACGTGAAGTACACCGTGAAGGAGAGCAAGATTGTCAGCAAATAATTCAGTTGTTTTTCCAAACTAGGCAGACAAAACACACACGGCAGCAAAATAAACAGTACACCCACGGGAATGATCAGCAGTGGGATGTACCAATTAGGATTACGCTTAAATTCCAAATAGTATTCAATACGTCTGAAAGTCAAACCACCTATACCATGTATTGTCTTACGAGATAAGGACACGGGAGGAATGAGATCCCACTCCTCATCTGTGGTGAAGGAATCGGTTACGAATTCGAGTGGGACAAGATCCACTTCATCAAGAGGATGATTCCATTCTCCAACCTCCAGGGGACACACTTGTGTGTCATACGGATAATGTGTTATGTCAGCTTGACATGTGGTAATTGGTGTTACTCGAAAAATCCATTCAACTGTCCCGTTGTTACATACTCGTAGTGGAATAGGCCCATCTTCATAGATTCCAAGTAGTCCCTTCTCATATTTACTGTAACACAAAATGCATTATATAAAGTAAATAAACTGTTCAGTGCATTTTCGGTATAATGTTCACGACCTGCACTATTACAATGTGCTTCTCTTTCAATGTATATCATTCTGCATGAACGCGAAACTTGTTTTCTTACATTCTATCTACTTACTTGTTCCTGACAGACAGGTAAGGTGTCCAAACCTCATGTATGGTAAATGCGATGCACTCAATCTCGGTAATTGGGGGAACCCAAGTCAGCCTCCCGTCGTACCATGTCTGACATCGAAAAAGAAAAAACCCATTTGCATCATGTTGGGAGAGGATGACATATTATTACACAATATATCATACATTCTAGTCTACCCAGCTTTATAAGTCACACGATGATGGACACTATCTATAGTATAAGGGGCTTTATTATCTTTCAGAATGTAAGATGCGTTGTATTTTATTTGTCAAATTTAACGGCGATAATGCTCATGACAAATGTAAAAGGCTACGATATGTAGCAAGACTAGAAAATAATGTTATAAACTTCTTTCCAATGATTCCCCGAACTGGGGCGCATCAATGTTTTAATGCACAATTAATTTAAACCAATACGAAACAACATGCACGTTTAATCTGTCATACAAAATGGTCAGCGTTCTGCATTTCAGCCTGCTTTACACTTTCAATTCTTATAAACCAAAACTGGATCTGATACCTGAAGCAAAAATACTTTTTAAATACTTTTGTAACTAAGCTAAGGTAAGGATTTGAGGTGATATTACTCACAATATGGAAATATATTGTAGTAGATAAGGTCTGTGAGCCAATGTCCTATAAAACAAGAGTAATAATATGTTACTTTGAAAGTGAACACAATAAAAACAACCAAAGAATCAGCTTTATGTCAATATCAAACACTATTGTGTGAATGCATGATTATGTCCGAACAGGAAAGTTCTCTGTAGTATTCGCTTCTGTTGCTTAGAATGTGGTAAATATGTATCATAAAGTGCTTAAGAATGAAAATATTATTTACCGCTTAACACGTGTCCTGTGGTAAGGCTAAATGTGTATCAAGATGTAGAAGAGAAAGATCACCAGAACAAAAAAGGGTGTTATTCATATTCGATATGAGAAACAAACCACATACACTTTATAGTTGCAGATATAAATAGGATTAGACTTAAGTTATTTTTGTCATCAGATAATACACCAACCTCATCACAGGAAATTGCTATTAAAATATTATTTCGCGTTCAGTGAGTAAGAAAAAGGACATTTGCAAAATGTAAATAGAATAAGATAACTATTTTTGTTGATTTACCAGCTCATTTAGAGAATGTAAATGCAATTGAATGGTCACGTTTGTTGATCTAGATGGCCTGACTTTAGGGTCGTAGTTGCTTTGATTTAACAGTTCTTCTCTCTGTCTTGTATACTCAGTTCTAAAATCTCTATCGTCTTCTGACTGAGCGATAGTTGCACCTGACAATGAGAAGTGAGACAAAATAAAGTCATGTACATTTATTGGTGAAGGACTTAATAACCATGTATTATTCTCACACGAACTTTGTGTACGTGGCTTTGCATAATTATGATTTTTTTCCTAACTGTCTGGCGCTCTGCATAGTGTGTATGAGTAAAGTATTCATGATAAATTGTGGCATGATATCTCAGAAGGCTCAAGCTATAGAAATCCTGATTAGTTCAAGCAGCCAAAGACACATAGCTCTTTAAGTGAAATGATACAGAAGCGATTTTCACATTACCTCACCTCATTCAGTATTCTTTAAAAGCAATTATAGTCACACCATGTAATGGTTACTTACATTTGCAGCTGGGCAACATGTAAAATAGTATCAGCAGGCAAGCCAGCTTGTTGAAGCTCTCCATTTCTGTTAAATATTACCAACAACGCCCAGGTGATGAAAAATTAGAGATTTGTCGCAGAACTATATGGCGATACAACAAACTGTATACAACTGCCGACTGCCAGATGTCGTCTGGGTATTTAATTCGGAATCCCCTGAAATGTAACATTTAAGTCAAAATGTATTACAATATACGCCAAGCAATAATGCATGCAATAATGCATCTAAAGGTATATATATGTTTGTATACATAACCATACCTAAAGGTATATCTGTGTGTATACATAAACATACATAAAGGTAAACTGTGTGTATACATAAATATACTGAAAGGTATATCTTTGTATGTATACATAAACATACTTAAAGGTATATATTTGTATGTATACATAAACATACTTAAAGGTATATCTATATATGTATACATAAACACACCTAAAGATATATCTTTGTATGTATACATAAACACAACTAAATGTATATCTTTGTATGTATACATAAACACACTTAAAGGTATATCTATATATGTAAACATAAACACACCTAAAGGTACGTCTTTGTATGTATACATAAACATACCTAAAGGTATATGTTTGTATGTATACATAAACATACTTAAAGGTATATCCTATTATTCTTTAGCTTCTTTTGTTACATCTTGAAACCGCCTTCAAATTCAAGAACAGCATAATGGCCTGTGTGTGTCGTAAAATGTTACTGGCTTAACAGAAGTGGTAGAAGTTTCCTGAGCAAAAGATACATTCTGAAAAAGGTGTATGCTAAAATCAGCGTATTTACTTAAGCAGTTCCTTCTTTAGTCGTTTTCAGGAGATAAAGGGGCATAAAACCAGCTTGGAATCGTGTGAGAAACAGAGGTACTGAAGCCCAGTAATATTGGTCTAGCCACTTGGTCTAACATTGGTCCCCAGCGGTCAATAGCCAGTATTTCATCCATGTTACTCATATGCTGAATAATGTTTGTTATCTTTGTTTCAGATTTAATCGGTGACATTGACCAAGCCGTTTAACTGTCTTTATTGACAGGTGTTTTATAATAACTAAATCTCATCGATATCCGCAGCAATATTGTTGCTGAAATATCGCTAACATGACCCGAACAGTCATATGATGTGACTATATTATCGGACGCCACTCCTAGAAAGGATTAATCGGTACCGGAGCAATTGTACACCACAAACCAATGCATAGCATCTTGAACATCTAGAAGATACATGTATATATATATATTTGTGCCGACGCTTTAACAACATGAACCCTTTATACAATAACGAGAAACATCTTAGACTTAAATTAACAGTAAACTTATACCTAATATACATTCAGGGAAACATGTAAATGTTTTTCTCCACTCACCCTCTGAGGCGTTGTCATCTGATCGTCACCGATGGCTGTGCGTTGCTGAACACTCTGGAGAGTGGGACAACACGGCCTTAAATAAGACCCACCAACTGATAACCTTTAATGTTATCACCACTTCCTGCATCAACGTGTATGCTCCACCTGGAACACACTTACTTCTTTGTTCTTATTTGTCCAATGAAATAGATGGACGTATGAATTGGCAGCGGTAGTATTATAACCAGGAAAAGCATATACAGCATCATCATTTCTGTGAATCTAGTTTTTATGAACAATATCTGATGAATGCTTATGCATTAAATTATATTTAAAAGGATGATATACAGTAAACTACGTTTATAACGAACACGTTTTTAACGAACTGACGCTTGTAACGAACTGTTGGAAGATCCCGGCTATTTACGGTATATGTTTGTTGAAATGCTCATATCGATACTACGTTATAACGAAATGAAATTAGAGGTCCCTTAAATTTCGTTATAACCCTAGTTTACTGTGTAAATATAGGTATTCATATATTGCTTCTACTGGGATCATATCAGAGGCAAGTTTCGTGTGTTTATATTAGAAGACGCCTTGCATTCTAGTGATGGCAGTGAAAGAGCACACTCTTTCTCAGCCTCCCACGTCTCGTAGTTTAAACTTTATCCCGTAATTGCCTCAAAAGTGCAGCATAGTATGCTCCGTTGACTGTCTCGCCTTCTGAAAGATAGGCATCCACGATGTCACCCTCGGCTTCCAAGAACACGGAGATCATAACCTTTCCAACTCCCCTTTGGTGGTGCTGATGTCAAATGCTTCCACCCTTAAGATTCATATTTGGACCCGAGCAAGCACCTTTCTGGATCAGCTTCACAAGACATGTTGTGTCTGGTGCGTTTTTGATCAGATGTCAGAAGCTTTGGAACCCAATGAATTGACACTTTCGTCATTGCCAAAGTTCATGTGGATAATGGAATCTATTCTCTCCTGTGGAAATACCCATTGAACTAACAATATGACGCTGTCATCCGCTGATCGGTCATTACCATATCGTAATTCTCAGGTGTTGATGACGTGACAGGCTCTCCTTGGTACTCTTAAACTCTGCTGTCCAACTCATGGAAAAGGGCATCCTTCCCTAGAGTTGTACTCATTTCCATGTGCGTCTTTTAATGTTAATCCCCTTTTCTGCAAGTACATGATCGCGCCCAAATGTTGTCCATTTGCAAAAGTCACAGACCCCTGCTTATATTACTGACTTGTCACGGCGAAACGATTTGCTTAATTAACTCAAATTGTTGTGAATATGCCGCCATGATGGCATGTGCTATGCAGAACAGAAGGTTTTAAGTGTTCTGCAATGCCTTCTCAGAGAGGCCCATAACTCATAATCAACCCTCGTAAAAAGGCGAAAGAACGTGAAGACTCAGTAAGAAACTTTGACATGTGTCACCATTTGTGTTACGTGTATAAGATAATATAGTCATCAACAAAAGAAGCACTACAGCGATATATTCGGTATTCAATAATTACATTCTTCGCAATATCATAACAAGTATGCTTAGCGTTTTCTTACCAGTGTATCATATTGAAGTTTGTGTCACTTGAATATCAACCAGCTGGCATTGTATGGAGATTCTATTTTTTGGGTGAGTTTTCTCTTCTGTTTGCTAATGTTTTGCGACAGCGAAACGTGGTTCTTGTTTTTGGAAAGTCTCAGTATCAATTGTTCATATACAACTTCGTGTCGTCACTTTTCCTGATATTTGTGTCGCCTGAAACAAGCCCGAAGCATGTGTCGCTCTTCGTCGGGGCATGGAAATCATAGCAATAAGATCTGATCACCTCGTTTGCTCATAATGTGGGAGACAGTGTTATGTGGAAGCACATCAATCTGTGGCCTGGGACAAGAAATGATCGGCGTTTACTCCCGGTTCGACTCTGGACACGTCGTTAAATTCGTTCGAATCCATAACAAAATATGTGTTCCATGGTGTTCAGTGTGGTATCACTATAGTTAAGTTAAGACGACAGGTGGTGGTGATTCGAAACACACCCTGCACCCTTATGAATATACCAGTACCTATGTATTGAAATCCTAACTTGATCTGTTTATTAAATTATTTCGCTATTATTTTGTATATTGTGCTTCCAGGTGTTATGTCTTAGTTATGACCCAGACTTATTTCACTTTGAAGTTGTAAGTAACCAATGGACTCACATCACATACTGCTTGTAGTTTACCGATATAACACCCAGGCGTAGTTTAACAAACATGATAACGAGTCCACTACATTGATGAAGGCCAAGGACACGAGGCGTTTCCACAGATGTATTTTAATGATAACAGAAGATAAAAGATCACGCGACTGAAGAGTTACTGGCTACAGATATATATAAGTGGTATAATGCAATAATGAAAATACAAATGATAAACATGTTTACTCCGTAGCTGTTTGAACAGAATCTGTTCATTGGGTGGTATTGTCTAGGGACTTGACTTTTAATCACCAAGATATAGATCATGTTCAATGTCAATAAATGATTGTCACGCGGAGATCATGCGACTGATGAACCAGTTGTGTCCAATTGATGGATGTGTCGAAATGTCACCTCACGTTGAAGAAAGCATTATCTGATAACACTGCATTGCGGACATTATTGCTGCGTGTGTAATATGTTGTTCAAACATTGAAAATGTATAGTTATCAAAGCTACACCATGGAGGAATGTTGAAACTAACAGCTAAGAATAAGGAAAAGGTAAACCAAGGGCTCTCCATATTGCCTTGTTTCTTTGCAGAACATTTCTATTTCTGAATTTGACAAATTGAAAACCTTCAGCCCCTTTCAGACAAAAATAGGAATATATATGGACAAAGTGAATTTAATCACAAAAATATAGATCTTGTTCAAGATTAATCAAACATCATCACGCGATGGTCTTGCGTTTAATCACAGAAGGTATCGATATGTCACCTATGTTGAAGCACACACTGTCTGATAACAATGCACAAGAACTATACGTGAATGCTGAAATACCTTATACGAGGGGTGTTCATTAAAGATTTCCCCTGACCCACTTCCGATGGACCTAGTAAAATGAAACTTAGCATAGGTATTAGTCTTCCTACACATAGGAACCACCAAGAGTTACACACTTCTCCCATCGTTTTATGCAGTTATGGAGACCTCGCTTGTAAAAGCCCTCATTTTGCGTCTCAAACCAGGACTTGACCTCGGAAATCAGTTTCATCATCTGTGAAACGTTTTCCCTTTAAAAATGACTTCATGGTTGGAAAGAGGTGGAAGTCAGATGGTGCAAGGTCAGGAGAGTAAGGAGGATGTGGAAGGATTTCATAGCCACAGGACGGCGCTTCTGTCTGCGCAACATGAGAGTTGTGTATTGGAGCATTGCCTTGCAGGAGACGGACACCCTTGGTCAGCATGCCACGCCTCTTAAGCTTGATAGCGTCCCGCAAATTCCGCAGCAGTGAAGCATAATAAGCTCCTGGAATTGTGGTACCCTTTGCCAAGAAATCCATCATCACTACTCCGTGCTGGTCCCAAAATACCGTGAGCTTGACCTTGCCTGCAGAGGGTTTGACACGTGCCTTCTTTGTGGGTGGCGACTCCACATGCCTCCATTGCATCGACTGAACTTTAGTCTCAGGATCATTGTGATAGACCCATGTTTCATCCTGTGTGATAAGTCTGTCAAAAAAGTTTGCCTGGTTTTGCACATGTCCAAAAGATCCTTTGAGCAATTGACTCGTTCCTGCTTTTGGAAAGGTGTGAGCAGCCTGGGAATCCATCGTGCAGACAACTTATGCATGTTCAAATTGTCATGGATGATTTTTTCCACAGACCCTACTAACTGGCGAACAGTTATACGTCGGTCTGCCAAAATGGCGGTATACACTTGATGGATAGTGTCCTTATCAATGGCTGAATGGGGGCGACTAGGAATGGCAGCTGTTTCCACAGATATCCGACCACACTTGAACTGGCGATGCCAGTGTTTAACAACGCCATATGCTAGGGCATCTTCCCCATAAGTTGCTTTCATTTCATCGAAAGTTTCTTTTGGTGTGCGACCTTTCAAATATAAAAACCTAATCACTGCTCGGTATTCTGCTGGCTCCATTGTCACACCCTACTCGATCATAACACCTGTAAAAGTGGTAAGATTAATAGTTCGGTGCTGCAAATGCAGACATAACCCAAAGATACATGTATCAATACACATATGAAATTTCAACCAAATATGATAACACTCAGTGGTTCAGGGGAAATCTTTAATGAACACCCCTCGTACATACACTAGAGTTCATAGCGTGTATTCCTGCTACGTGTGTTTAATATGCTGTAAATCTTGACATTTATGCGACTCAAAATCAATGCCACAAAACATGTGAGGATCGAAAAACACGAACTGTGATTTTAGCTTTAGGAGTAGATAGATTTCGGTGGATGAGTACGAGGCAAATGCATATTAAACAAATTTTTATATTCACAAATGTTTCTTAATTCTCTGTTAACGTGTGCAAACAATTCACTCAGAACAGGTCTCCTGAGACGAGTTCAGGAGGAATAATAATCCTAGTGGAGAATACCATGAACAACTATGTCTCACACATCCCAGCTAACAGTGAATGTTTACTTCTGGCCAAAATATCATATACACTGCCATCTGAATGTGATTTACTGTTTGGTGTTGTCTACATCCCCCCGAGGGACAACCTCATTATAACCCTTTGTGTTTTAATGCTCTTCAATCTAAACTGTGTAAATTTGATTCCCTTTGATGTCGATATTGCAGTATCAGGAGACTATAATGCCAGAACAATAATTATGGTATGACTGAACTTGTAAAAGAAGAACTCATTTTTATTCACTTCAATATCCCAGAAGGCATAGTGAAAGAATTAAATATATATCAGACATTTCCTCATTAGGTACAGTCATTTCAAGTCACTCACAAGACACTTAAATGTGTAAGTATTTTTATGTACAAGACTTGGATCCTTTCTTGTCAGATGCTCATAGAGCTCGACCATCGCTCGACACTCGACAAGACGATACCGCCTGACAAGAGCACGGACAC